ATTGCGTGAAGATTGAAAAGGTTTGGGAACATCAAAAGTATGAAACAATTGCTTGGCTTGTCATCGGGGTTGTGCATGATTTAAATACTTTGTGTGGTGAAGATGGAGTATAGCCAGACTATATGATTTTGTAGGGATATCTTTCTTTGGCCATGATATTTTAAGAAGACATGATTGCTTAGTAAGTATGCTTAAAGTATTATTGTTTTTATGTCAATATTAAACTTTTGTTTTGAATCTTATGGATCTGGATATTTTTGCCATAATAGAGAGAACTACATGGATAAATATGTTAGGTAGCATTCCACATCAAAAATTCTATTTTTATCATTTACCTACTCGAGGACGAGCAGGAATTAAGCTTGGGGATGCTGATACGTCTCCAATGTATCTATAATTTTTGATTGTTCCATGCTATTATATTATCAACCTTGGATGTTTTATATGCATTTATATGCTATTTTATATGATTTTTGGGACTAACCTATTAACCTAGAGCCCAGTACCAGTTTCTTTTTCCCCTTGTTTTAGAGTGTCGCGAAAAAGGAAAATCAAACGGAGTCCAATTGATCTGAAACTTCGCGGAACTTATTTTTGAACCAGAAGAAGCCCACGGAGTATCGGAGTTGGATCAGGAGAGCAATAATACTACACCTACAAAACCAACCTACTAAGAGTTACGTAACCTGCCTAACAAATCTATCGCCCCCCTGATTTTCACCCGTGTGGGCCCCTGCCACATCCATCCATCCAATCGCAGTCCTACACATTGCCTATTACGTAAAATCTGTACGTAACTTTACCTAGGTGTAGCATTGCTCACCAGGAGAGTCCCGGGCTGCCCACGAGGGTGGGGGGCGCGCCCACCCCCTGCCTCGTGGACAGCCCGGAGGTCCACCGACGTACTTCTTCCTCCTATATATACCCATATACCTAAAAGCTTCGGGAAGCACAATAAATCGGGAGTTCCGCCGCCAGAAGCCTCCGTAGCCACCGAAAATCAATCTAGACCCGTTCCGGCACCCTGCCGGAGGGGGCAATCCCTCTCCGGTGGCCATCTTCATCATCCCGGTGCTTTGCATGACAAGGAGGGAGTAGTTCTCCCTCGGGGCTGAGGGTATGTACCAGTAGCTATGTGTTTGATCTCTCTCTCTCGTGTTCTTGAGGTGGTACGATATTAATGTATCGTGAGCTTTGCTATTATAGTTGGATCTTATGATGTTTCTCCCCCCTCTACTCTTTTATAATGGATTGAGTTTTCCCTTTGAAGTAATCTTATCGGATTGAGTCTTTAAGGATTTGAGAACACTTGATGTATGTATTGCGTGGGATACCCGTGGTGACAATGAGGTATTCTATTGATCCACTTGATGTATGTTTTGGTGATCAACTTGCGGGTTCCGTGACCTTGGGAACCTATGCATAGGGATTGGCACACATTTTCGTCTTGACTCTCCGATAGAAACTTTGGGCACTCTTTGAAGTACTTTGTGTTGGTTTGAATAGATGAATCTGAGATTGTGTGATGCATATCGTATAATCATACCGACGGATACTTGAGGTGACATTGGAGTATCTAGGTGACATTAGGGTTTTGGTTGATTTGTGTCTTAAAGTGTTATTCTAGTACGAACTCTATGATAGATTGAACGGAAAAAATAGCTTCGTGTTATTTGACTACGGACTCTTGAATAGATTGATCAGAAATAATAACTTTGAGGTGGTTTCATACCCTACCATAATCTTTTTGTTTGTTCTCCTCTATTAGTGACTTTGGAGTAATTCTTTGTTGCCTGTTGAGGAATAGTTATGTGATCCAATTATGTTATTATTATTGAGGGAATTTGCACTAGTGAAAGTATGAATCCTATGCCTTGTTTCAACGCATTGCAATACCGTTTGTACTCACTTTTATCATTGGTTACCTTGTTGTTTTTATATTTTCAAATTACAAAAACATTTATCTACCATCCATATACCACTTGTATCACCATCTCTTCGCCGGACTAGTGCACCTATACAATTTACCATTGTATTGGGTGTGTTGGGGACACAAGAGACTTTTTGTTATTTGGTTGCAGGGTTGCTTGAGAGAGACCATCTTCATCATACGCCTCCTACGGATTGATAAACCTTAGGTCATCCACTTGAGGGAAATTTGCTACTGTCCTACAAACCTCTGCACTTGAAGGCCCAACAACGTCTACAAGAAAAAGGTTGTGTAGTAGACATCACACCCCCGAGCTCAAAATCATCGATTCACCCATGAACATGGGACCCCTTACACCCCTCTTCAACCTCCCTACTCCACCTCTATCACATAGAATTGTAGACGTGAGTAGAAAAACACATGCTTAGAGGGTGATTTTGAGATACTTACCGGTAATTTACGGACCAGTTCCTCGACCACTCGAGACAATGCTTTCCCGGATCTAGCTCCACCCGCTAGATGGTCGTGGCGCACGGATGGCGCTGTCTCCTTGGCTCTTCCTCTTGTTTCTCTTGCTGGTCGCTGGTACTCCGACACCTCTCTCATCCCCTCCGCTTGCTAGTTGCCGTAAATCATATGCCAAAAAAATATTATAGGCAACTTTCTGTCATTATTAGGCAAGTTAGTGTAGAAATCATTGACTAGAAGAAAGCATGCTTTTTTTACTAGAACTCAATGCCAAAAAGGTTATAGATTGACTAAAAGAAAGCATGTCTTTTGCTGCTAACTTTATTGGTCTAAAGTACAGTCCGCAACTTCTTACTTTTATTTGCTTAATGATATACTAATGGCTAACAGAAGTGCCAACAGGGGAATTGTAAGCAGCTCCAACTGGGGGAGGAGAATCGATGAATTGATCAAACAGATGGAACTGTCAGTGCACATATCAAAGCAATATCCTGTTGTTAACTACATCTTGTGTGCGGCATCAATGACCACTGAAAGACAGAGAATCTTTCATTCAGATGCAGTGTTGCTTTCCCCTAAGAGAGTTTACTTTTATGTGTACTAAAAATAGCATAACAGTAATGCTATGTGCTAATCCTTTGTAAAATCAATGTGATTTTGGCGGCATTATTCAGCAAGCACTGATGTGCTTCTACTTGTACACATATCTTGTAGTATTAGAAGTTTAGAACTGACGGAGTTGTAATTGTATAAACCATCCAAGCAGGCCTTTTTCATTATTGAACTAATGTGTTCCTATACAAGTTTCAGTCTAGCTGTATGGATACCATATTTAATAGAAATGTTTAACTAGGCAAATAGACATATCAGGCAAAGGCAACCAACTAACAAAATCATTAGGCAAGCAAATAGTTAGGCTGATATGGATACCATAATCAACAAAAATGTTTATGTTGGGTTTTAGAGTGCTAGCTCGTATACTCCAGCACGTGAAACGGTTTTCTTTCACAAGCTCACGTGAATTCCGTCCGTCGAGAGCTAGTTATGTTCAGATCGAATCGATGGCTTGATCGAAGGTTACCTATGAAGAGGCTGCAGCTACTGTTCATCAATCAACCAGCTTGCCTGCTTGCTTGTTTGCTTGCACGTATTGTTGCTGATGTTGCTTCGGTGAATTGATCTAGCAGTCAAAAACCAACAGTTTAACCATCCAAGCAGACGACATTTCAGTATTTTACTTGCTAGTTCAGACTTATCAGGCAACCAACTAACAAAATCATTTGGCAAGCTTTGGGCAGATACAAAAAACATTAGGCAAGTTACAGGTAGGTAACTAGGCTAGTTCTATCTCCATGAGCACATTGGCGTGCACCACAATTTCCAAGTCCTGTGTAATCAAAATTTCCATCAAGTTTTTGTAGCACCTCAATGAGATGGCAAAATTGACGAACATTTGAGGCAACTACAAATAAATAGCTAAGCAAGTTTTGTAGAACAAAAAAAGACATGTTCTGTGGGAAAGAATCTGGCAAGCACTCATACTACAAACTCTAGCACGCACCACATCTCCGTGCAAGTCGCGCTCACGCCCAGTGCAACTCAACACGCGCGCTTTGGCAAATCCAAAAACTGGTTCAGAATGGCTCACCCTGTGGACGAAGAGCAGGAGGGGAATCTAGTGAGGTACTACGCCGCATCCACCTCGCCGTGCTTCTCGCCGTCGTCCACATGACCCCTGCAGTCATGGCTTTGGACGGAGAGTTTGAGGCAAGGCTTCGAGAGAATCCTCCCTGTACTTCGCGGCCAGGGAGTTGAACTGTAGGGGATCTCCGAGGGGCGCGTGAGCAGAGGGGGCCGTCTCCGGTTGGAATCTGCGGGAGCAGCTGCTGCCTTCTTTTGTTGTCGTTGTTGGACGCGAAGGGCCTGGATCCAACAGGAATCGAACTCCCAGTCACGGGATGCCAAGACCTGGCGAGGGATCGACGCTGCAGGGTGCAGGATGATGCCGAGAGGGAGAAGCAGGGTGCGGGGTCGCGTCGCCGCCGGTCCGGGGCTGGGGAACGCGTCTGCTCTGGCGGGGTGCTTCGCTGCCGGTTTGGCGGAGAAGAAGGCCGAGGAAGGAGGAGCTCCGGCGTAGGATTTGGCTCGATGGAGACGGGCCAACGCGAGGGCCAGGTCAATGGAGGTGAATGCAGCAGATCTGGCCGGCTGTGGAGGAAGGTGTGCGCAGGGGGAGGGAGAAGGTGAGTTCGTGGCAGAGGAGTGGGTCGTGGCCTCGTGGGGAACGGCCACAGGTTGCACGGGGGAGAGAGACCGGGTAAGTGTTTCGGCCCGACCGCCCAGCACCTGAGGCCGCGATTTCGATCGAACGGCGCGGAAGGGCGTGTGCTCCGGAACTCTAAAAAGTGCAGCTGCACTTTTTAGAATTTAGTTTTTTTAGGATTGACAAGCATTCTACTCGACTAATCCTTTGTAGCAACTGGGCCCATGACCCGGTCACTCGCGTTTCGACGGGCTTTCCTGGGCCCACGGCCCTCGCTCTCCTAGCTTCTTGCTTGAAACGAGATCACAGCCGTCCTTCACTTTTGCTGTGTCGCGCGCCATGGCATGCGAGCCGTCGTCGCCGCCGCCGCTCCCGAAGAAGCAGAAATCGCCAGCGGCCGCTCCGACCACCATATGCGCCCTCGGCGACGACCTGCTGCGGGAGATATTCCTCCGCCTGCCGTCCCTCCCCACCCTCGTCCGCGCCGCCCTCACCAGCCGGGCCTCTCTCGGCGCCGTCCGCTCATCCCCCGCCTTCCGCCGCCGCTTCCGTGAGCTCCACTCGGCCCCGCTCCTCGGCGTGTTCCTCGACGTCTTCGAGTCCGACACGCCCGCTTTCCGCCCGCTCCGCCTGCACTCCGACCCGGACCTTGCCGCAGCCGTCCGCGGCGGCGATTTCCTCCTCACCCGCCTCCCCGACGAGATCGACGGCGTCGCCCCCGAGTGGGTAATCCAGGGCTGCCACGACGGGCGCGTCGTCCTCGTCAGCTACAGCACCGGGCACATGGCCGTCTACGACCCCCTCGCACGAGCCCTGGATCTCTTCCCCAGGCCGCCCGGCGAGATCTGCGAAGACATGTACGTCGAGTACCACGTCCTCCCCTCCGACGAAGACCGCGGCCCGTTCCGCGTCATCTGCGTCTGCCACGAAGCTTGCGGGGCGCAAGCCGCCGTCCTCTCATCAGAGACCGGGGAGTGGCAGATCTTCCCGTTTCTGGAGGCCGCAGCCATGCAGCCTGCCTTGCAGCCTGGGAACGACAACGAGAAGTGCTCTGGCAACGGGACGCTGGTGAATGGGTGTATCTATTGGACAGACGGGAGCCGAGCCCTTGCCCGCGTGCTGAACACCTCGACAGTGCAGTTCTCCCGAATCGACCTGCCTCCGCACATCGAAGGGCAAGGAGCGTTCACGGCTGGCGAGACCAAGGACGGGAGGCTCTGCATCATCAGCACTGTCAAGCTCACACTTGTTGTTTGGTTCCGGAGAACCGACGATGATGGTGTCGAGAGATGGACACAGCACAAGACATTTCCGTTAGAGCAGGACATCCATGCGCACGATCACTGTTTCGACAATGATCATATCGCGCTGAAGGTTCTGGCGATCGTCAATGGCTTTGTGTACTTGTCTACTTACTGTGAGCCGGATCGCGATTTCCCTGGTTTGTTCCTGTCCTTCTGCCTCGAAACAGCAAAGCTGAATAAGCTCTGCACCATCATTTACCCTGAAAGTTTGTATCCCTACATCATGGCGTGGTCTCCTTCTCTGCTGCTCAACGAGGTGAGTCCTTGAATCAAGGTCCTTGACAGGTTGTCTTCTGCAGAAATACAACATTCCCTACTTTTATTGCACCCTTATATCTCATGGAGAGCTGACATGGTAGTATATTTATGAAAACTAGAAACAAATTTGAGCTTACTTCCATGCATCGGAAAGTATTCAATAGGGATCAGCAACATTTATAAATTGTTTGTTTCTAGTGAGCTTCGAAAGACTATCATTATTTACCTTCCTCTCATAATATGTATTCATGTACTATTAAATGGTTTATCGTATAAATATTAAGCGGCATGCTGACCCTGATTATATATCAAACATAAAATTGACATGAATGAAATTAATTAATTTGCTAGAGTTTGTGTTCCATTACTTTTATAAGTACGCGTAGTTAGAAATTCATCCTCTCTATGATTGGCAGTTGGGATATTGGGACTGATAAGTACATTGTACATGCGGGCATAACAATCTCTAGAAGCGATCCAGATTTTGACTTGTGATGATAAAGCAAAAAAGCATGCAGGGTGGTAACTTATAACTAGTGCTGTCATATGGATTGCCAGAAGAAAGTTAAATTCCATGTTAATCTTGTTTTTAGAATTCTGCAAAACCAGCTTATCCGGGGTAGCTGATTGCATGATTTTTTTTATTTTTATTTATTTTTGCAGCCCACCAGAAACTACTGAAGCGACATGTGCTCAGTGCGCTGCATCATTCATACGCACACAGAAAAAGGAACATCTGTACAAGTTCTTTGATGCCACATAGCTTGATGAAACTACTGAAGCAACATGTACTCGTTGCTGCGCTGCACCATTCATATGCTCCCTGAGGCGTAGAAGAAGAAAGTCTGTTCCAAGTTCTTTCATGCATCATAGCTTGACTGGGCTAGAAGTGGAATTGCAAGTTATGGCTACAACATGCTAGACTTGGGCCAGAAGTGGAATTAATTATCTTCTATTAGAAGTATCAATATACTTTAAAAAAAACTTCCAAAGATCTGAGATGAAGTTATGCCATGCCGCTGCTCAATTTTTCACTGGAGTAGTAGATATCTGTTGCGTTTCATAAGGATAAATAAGGATAATACTCCCTCCCTTCCAAAATAAGCGTCGTTGATTTGGTATAAAGTTGGACTAACTTTGTACTTCCTCCGTAGAAAAATATAACAGCGTTTAGACCACTAATCTAAATGCTTTTATATTTCTTTATAAAGGGAGTACTAGATCAGCTACACTTATTTTGAGACGGAGGAAGTATTAATTATCTCTTAGAAGTGCTCCCTTCATCCAAAAATACTTGTCATCACAATGGCTAAAAAGAGATGTATCTAAATCTAAAATACATCTAGATACGTCTCCTTGTATCCATTTTGATGACAAGTATTTCCGGACGGAAGGAGTAGTATTTTTTAAAAACCCGCAAAGATCTTGGATGCAGTAATGAACGATCCGCGCGATAACTGGAGTTGCATCAACTGGCAGCCTGTTTGGTAAACATTTGGGCAAGGAATGGGAGTTTGCCCAAGGTTGTTTATGAAGGGATTAGGTATGGGAAGTAGATTTTTACTCCCATTCCCTTGTTTGGCATATGATGGGAATTGACGTGGGATAAAACTCTGCTCACGAATTAACAGGGTATCCCCTGGGAAGAAATCGGTGGGAATTGGTTTTCTCAACTCCCAGTCCCCTTCCACTTAAACTCCCATTCCCTCTAATTAAACAGTGGATTTTTAATCTCCTTACCCCTCAACTCCCATTCCCCGTCTCTAATTCCCCTGAACCAAACACGCTGTGGGTGCGCGCTTTTTGCTGGAGGAATATATATTTGTAGCGTTTTAGGACTTTGGTGGTCATGTAAAACGAAAAGAGTCAAGAGTTTTCTCTGTGTACCATTGAAGCGTATGAAAGCAAAAGCGGAGGCACCAGACACATCTCTTTCCTTCACAGCCAACCAAACCGCCTTTCATCTTGTTACGTACTACATGCTTTACCAGCTTCTCCACTTTGTCACAATTTCTTTAGACTAAACTTGAAGGAAATCATATTCCAATATGCTCTATATATCTGTGTTGATCAGAAATAAATTGCTCCGCCTTTGCTTCTTTTCCTGCCTTGTCGGTTTAACCACGTCGGTCTTTGTAAGGCCCGAGAAGTCACTGGTGCTTAATTACAGTTAATTATCTACTCCCTCCGTTCCTAAATATTTGTCTTTCTAGAGATTTCAACAAGTGACTACATACGGAACAAAATGAGCGGATCTACACTCTAAAATATGTCTACATACATCTATATGTTGTGTCCATTTGAAATGCCTAGAAAGACAAGTATTTTGGAACGGAGGGAGTAGCAAGTTAACAGTAAGTACTTTGTGCATGTCCTGTCATGTAGCCGGCCAGGAGGAGCATATAAAGAGGGAGGAGTGTGAGTGGGGGGAAAGGCCCAAAGGCACGTCACGCAGCACACATATAGGAGAGCAAGAGTGCTCAAACAGAAAGAGAAAAATAGGAGGGGAAGAGGGAGAGGGGTTCATCGTCGACTGGTAAAAGTGAAGATGAAGGAGGCCGCGGCGGATCTGGGGCACCTGCTGGTGTTCGCCTTCCTCTTCTGCGTGGGCGCCTTCATGGTGGCGCCGGTGATCACCGACGTGACCATGGCGGCGCTCTGCCCCGGCCAAGACCAGTGCTCCCTCGCCATCTACCTCACCGGCCTGCAGCAAGCCGTACGTGCCCCCATCCCATGCGTGCACCTCTCCGCGTCCGTTTCTTGGTTCTTCGTGTACGCGTGCACGCAGCTTTTCGAGCCAGGCTTCGGCCGAGTCCAGGTGATCCAGCCGCGTGCTTGCCAGGCGCCGGGCTGCTGCTTGGCCGGTACCTCCCTTTTTCTAGGAAAAATATCGGATCAATGTGGTGTGGCCGTATCCTGCATGTTTGCTATACTCGTTAGCTTCTTCTTCCTGTGATCGCTTGAGCAGTACGTGAGGCCGGTGAGACTGTAGGAAGGAGCGCGGCCAGGGCCACACGGGGATGGCATGAAGGGGCAGGGAGAGGAGAGTGGAAGCGGAAGCCCCACTGCGCACGCTTCCTGCCTTTGCTTCTGGCAAGCCTCCACCATCAGATGAAGCTAGCCTCCACCACAGTCCCATCTCCCGTGTGTGTGGAATAGTCGCTTCTGCCCACCGTCTGGAACTCAGGAAACCTCCCCGGTTCCTGGGAAAACCGGCCTAGAATTTCCGTGAGCCATTGAATGTAACAACAAGTTTGCTCTCGTCATATGCGCACCGTCCATCCGTCGACCCGGCGAACGGTGACGGGTCCCTCGCCGTCGCGTCGGGCGGTCGCCCTGACTTTGAGCTAGCAGCAGTCGTCTTGGGTGCGATCGATCGGTGTGGCCGGTGCGTCACACGGCGATACGACTACGCACCCGCGAGATCTCGCTTTTCTCCGCGGCCAACCGTCGTAAATGTCGCGCGCTCGCACCGACCACGCCCTCCTTTTCTTGAGGGAACCCGACGATACACTTTTGTTAGTAGATCTTGCATCTCTTCCCATGTAGTGGTAGTAGTAGTATGGTCAAAAGCTAGGAGCATTGCTTCCCAAGTAGTAGTGGTACTAGTATGGTTGAGAGTTGAGACACAAGAAAAGTCGTTGGTACTGACTAGTGACTACTACCAGTGTCATCTCATAAATAAATAGACAGGGAAACTAACCCCAAGCAGACCTCATTCTTTAGCCCTTTTTTCTCATTTTTCGTCTTCGTGAAGGCTTTGCCCCGAAAGCGGAGGGAGAAAACGAGACACGGGGCTGCAGGTCGCACAACTTGCGAATGTGGTGCGTGTGACGGCACTGAAAATGTGAGTGGCTACTGTGGCCCGCACTCCGCAGTTGCCAGCACCAGACAACTTGCTAGACTGTGTCGTGCTATGTGGTAATAGTGTCCATCAGCGACGCGTGCCCCTTATCCTTTTTTTATGACGTTAACTTGCACCGATGACGGGTCGCTCTAGCAGCAGCAGAATATGTGAGTGAGCGCCACGGGACAAGCAGAAGCCAGCGTGCTAAAGGCAGTGGTACAAGCGACACTGTGAGGGTGAGCCCGTGACAATTCATTCTCACCTGATGCAGATCACCGGGCTGGGGGCGCTCGTGGTGACGCCGGTCATCGGCAACCTCTCCGATAGATACGGCCGCAAGGCGCTGCTCGCTCTCCCGGCGACCTTGTCCATCGTTCCACTGGGTAAACTCACGAGTTAATCTTTCACGTCAGCCACAGCCACAGGTTGCAGGTGGAATTACTACTGATCACCTTTTGGTTTCCTTTCGTGTCGGCTAGCCATCATGGCTTTTAACCAGACGAGGCCGTACTTCTACGCCTTCTACGTCGCCAAGACGCTGACGGCGATGGTCTCCGAGGGCGCCATGATGTGCCTCTCCCTCGCCTACGTGGTAACCAGCTCCATCCCCTCTCTCGCCAACTTTCAAGTTTTTCCAATATTTCCATGGATGGCTGGAGCTCAGCTGGATGCAATGCACGGGTTGCTCTTTCTCTGTGTGGCGTGCAGGCCGACAAGGTGCCGGAGGGGCGGCGAGCGGCGGCCTTCGGGGTGTTCTCCGGCGTCTGCACCGCCGGCTTCGTAGGCGGCACCATCGCGGCCCGCTTCCTCTCCGTGTCCTCTACATTCCAGGTATGTTAAGTGCGCGCCTCGTGCGTTTGCATCCGGCACATAGGTTGTTTCTTCATCTGTTGTGCTCTGCAGGTGGCGACGTTGGCGTCGGTTGCTGCGGCGGTATACCTGAGGGCCTTCGTCCAGGAGACGGACCGCGGAGCCTCGCTGCTGCGTGACCAGGAGGCCTCGCGCCTGCTCTTCCCTCCCTCCTCTAGCCCCGAGGAGGCGTCGCCGAGGCTCCCGCCTCTCCGGAAGGTGCCGTCGCTGTCGGAGATGGCCACCCTTCTTACCAGCAGGTGACATGCATGCCTTTCTCAGCTTGAAAGATTGCAAAATTAGCCTGCTCATTGGCTCAACGGAGAGAGTAGAAACTGTACTAACCTTTGACAGCTCAAGTAAGCGAACAGGGTTTCTCTTTCTGTTAAACAGGCTATAAGACTCCCAGTTCATCAGTTCTGTCATCACCAACTCCTTCCGCTTGGTGTATAACGGATTAGCAATGAATTGAGTTTCTTTAGCTTTCATCCAACATGATGATGTGCATTATCTTGCTGTGGAAGCCACAGACCTATCAGTGAAAAATACACTGATATATACTCCCTCCGTTCCAAATTACTCGTCGCAGAAATGGATGTATCTAGAACTAAAATACATCTAGATACATTCATTTCTACGACGAGTAATTCGGAACGGAGGGAGTACTCTTCTATGAAAAAAAAGGATAGCTTAGTTCCTCCTATCAATATTCTTAGAAAAGAAAATGTACCAAGATATTAACCTCGGATTACCTGCTGAATGCCTGCAAACCACTTGCAGCTCAACTTTCACGAGAGCAGCGGTCGTCACATTTTTCCACGGCCTTGGCGAAACAGGCCTGCAAACTGCATTACTGGTACTCCATTTTATCCACCAACATACTTTTCAGCATACACGTAAACTGCAATGTTGTAAATTCTACACGAACGTTCCTCTTTGAAGAACTCGATAAGCTGAGAGCATGAACAATCTATCTCTTGCATGTTTTCAACTACACTTCATGGATATCAACAAATTAGCTTCTAACTGTTTTGTCTTTTGTGATACAATTACAAATGCAGTATTTCCTGAAGGCCCAATTCCACTATACCAAGAACCAGTACGCTAATTTGTTGCTTATTATTGGCATTACAGGAAGTTTCTCACAGGTATGAGTTCATTTAGCAATATTTACCTACGTCTTCAATTTATGATCGATTATGTACTTGATTTCACTTGGTGCGGCAAAAGCAGTTTACGATTTATGATCTATGCAGCTGACCGTGATGCCTCTCTTAGCGCCGAGGCTGGGTGAGCAGAAGCTACTTGTCGTGGCACTTACAGGCAGCTGCGTGCATGTAAGGGCATTGTTATGGCATAGTCCTGTTATTTTTTCTTATATAATTCTCCTGCAAGAACAACTTGCCAATGTGATTTGATCTAGCATGTATCTTGCAGGGATTCCTATACAGCATTGCATGGTCATTCTGGGTATGCAACTGATCAAATGGTGGTATTGTGAATGATGGCTATTTTTTGGTATTAGTCGTGCTAAATTTCTATGTTTTGTTGAAGGTTCCTTATCTTGCTGCAAGCTGTGTGATTCTAAGCATTTTGGTCGGCCCTTGTGTGAGTAATATCTATCAGCGATTGCCTCTTTTGCTTTTATTTTCTGTTCATGTAACCATGTCAATAGTTTATCTTTATTGACTATATTCTTTAACAGATAAGGAGCATTGTATCAAAAAAAGTAGGGCCTTCTGAGCAGGTACTAATCTAAATGTATTAATTTAATCCATGACTAAATGAAGCTGCTTATTTCCACTAAGATATTAGATACCTTTTGTGAATCAGTTTCTCTTTTCCAATGTTTATTTTAGGGAATGGTTCAAGGCTGTATTACAGGAATCAGCTCAACTGCAAGTGTCATATCTCCTCTAGTTTTTACTCCGCTCACAGGTAAGCATCTGTCATTATCTTTGCTTAGCACATCTAAACTCACAACAGATTATGTCTTGTATGTCCTTCTTACTTCTTTCATCCCTATGCCACTGCCCACGAGCTTAGCCAAAGATGTCATTAGCTATAACGTTTTTTCCCATTGGTTTGACAGCATGGTTCCTATCAGAGACGGCACCTTTCAACTTCAAAGGTTTCAGCCTGGCTTGTGCTGGATTTGCTACGGTAGGCTCCCTAATTGAACATTGCTATGAGTATGGTTAAAATATTGTGCTCTGGAATTTAAACCTTACTGCACACTTTTTGTTTAGTATATATTTCTTGATTTTTATATATAAACTTCTAAGTAGTTGATATTGACTTCTATTTTCTATTGTACATTCTTGCAGTTGGTGGCACTCACAATGAGCATTAATATGAGGCCAGCAGAGGTTCAGCCAGATACCAGATAGAAGAACTACTGAATACATGTCGATGTACAGATGGTAGATGCCTATAATGCTAATACTCTTACTCAGTATCAATAGCCGTGGTCAATTAAGGTAGCTGTTCCATCCTCTGCAGTAGACAAATAGGGACAGCAAATAGTGGTGTAAACTATCAAAAGTAGAAGCAGATCCACAGGTTGCGTTTCTAAATTGTATTCGGTAACTGACACTACAAGTACAAGGTCAATTAAAGGTAGCTGTTCCATTCCGTGCAGTTGACAATAGGGCAGCAAATAGTGGTGTAAAGTATCAAAAGTAGAAGCAGATCCACAGGTTTCAGTTTGTAAATTGTACCACTCAATAACTGACACTACAAGTACAAGGTTGATTCGACATAGGTAATTAGTTGCGAGTGTAAGGCTGGAGTAAACCAAGTATGCATCGTTAGCACAATCGTTGTGCAAAAAACAGACCTTTTGCACGGAATGCATATTGATGGTACTAAATGTTTAACATTGATTTTTCTGTCACACGTTATGTCCTAACAAACATAACATTCAAATTAGAGGAATAAAGTTATGTGGGTCACTGACCTGTTAGTGCAGGATTTCTTGTCTTTTTTCTTCTCCACAACTCCATTAACATCCAATTCTGTAAACCCAAGGTGATCACAGTGAAATATTAAGTAAGTTCGAAAGAAACAAACAACTTCAAATTATACATCTAGCAATTATTCCAAATTGGACCAAATAACACAGATGAACTTATATCAATATCAATTTTCAACATCCTCTTCATCAGACCATTATAGCTTAACACGCAACAGATATGAATCAAACAAATGCTTAGCAAGCAAAGTGGAAACAAACCAAACAAGGTTACTCGTGCAAGCGCGCGACATTGAAGAACACAGGTGCAATTTTCTAAAAAAAAAAATCTAATTGCGAAGTATTTGCTTCTTTCTGTTAAGAAAGTAGTGCCGCCAAAGCTGCTCGGTTGCACATTTTCAGAAGATACTCGCACGCTATGTCCACATTTCGAATTTCTCAACAAAATACCCTTTTCGGAAACACACAAATCTGTAACATAGATGAGAATCACAAGTTACATAGGCACACTAATACTATTATCATCCATGAAAATGGAGTAATTATTATCGTATATACACAATTTTGCAATATCCCCCAAGGACAATTGATCATTGGCCTCTATTCTCCAGAGCCATCCGAGGTTTTTTCATCCTCATCACTCTCATCAGACAAGTTATCTCTGTTTGCAGCTCGCAGTACAAGACTAAGCAATTCTGTGTTGTCTTCAAGATCCTCAGATGAATCTTCTCCAGCTGCTGGTTGCCTACGTCGTGATGCCAGCACATGCCAGACCAATTCCTCCGGCAAGGCAAATTGCCAGAGCTTTGCTTTCCTCTTTCGGGGCTTCAACTGGAACATACATGTGATGATAAGATAAAAGCAAAAGGTTCCAACTTAAAATCTACACCAACAAATTAAATTTCTTCCCAAGACGAATGAGAATGAAAAGGTAAATTGTTGTCTGGCATATTTCAAAGCCTGTGAACTTTGATATAGTGACATGCTTCAAAATCAAAGAATAGTAATGGCATATTTCAAAACTAGAAAGTTTGTGGTGGCATATATCAAATTTACCCTAGAATTTACATCTCAAAGGCTAAAGAAGGGTGCTGAATTTTCAAGAGGAATGAATATATAGTCTTCTAAATTCTTTCTACAGATCAAACAAAATGTTTCTTTCTTGGTAAAGAACTAATTATCAGTCAGCTCTTGAATTTGTTTATTATAAATTATGAAGTTAATGTTACATGTAGGATAGAAAACAATAGGTCACTAGAAGTTGAGACGATAAGAGCCGTATAAAATGCCAGGAGATTTACCTCCTCAACATTAACAACTCGTGCTCGTTCAACGGCGGAGGGAGTCCATAGCTTCACATCATTATCAATTCCACTGCTTGCAATTGTCATAGCATGAGGATGGGGCTCAATACAATTGACTATGCATTCATCACCCTCCATTGCCCGTAAAAATTTCCCATCTCTCTTCCTCCAAATAAACAACCGACCACAGTCTGACCCACTGGCAACATATTCATGATTTGGCCCAATAAAAGTCACACCCTTCACAGTCTCACAATTGCGATGCCCAACATAAACCTGAGGCGCAGGTCGATCAACATCTTCACCAGATGCAAACACTGTTGAGTTGGACCCTTCACCGCCTCCAATTTTGACGGATGATTTTGGGTCGGGTCCCAGCCCTCCATTTTTAGGGAAGAGGTAAATATTCTCATCATTGTAAGATACAAGCAACTCACTCTGGTGAGAGAATGCTAACCCTGTTATTCCAACATTCTTATTGCCAATAAGATGTGGTGGACAATAACAGTCAGATGGCTGAGCGAAATCAGATGATCCACCCGACTTGCATTTACGGATGTCGTAGACACGAGCATAAGAATTGTTTCCCGCAACTGCAAGAAGATTTGGATTCCGTGGATCAATTGTGATTGCATTAAGATGGACATGAGAGGAGTGTCCTGATTTAGCCACAAACTTTCTGCAAATGAATAACTCTGTGGCTGTATCTGTCCTCAAATCAAACTGCACAGAAGTGAAAATGGTTAACTATAAGCAGTCAGATACAAAGATAAAATGTTGCATGTGCACACATGTGAGTGAGAAAGGGCATGTTTTGGGGATTGGGACCTTACATGTTGGACATGACCATCTTCGCCACAACTATAGAAAATATAAGGGCTTCCAGGCTCTAAAGCCAACTTGTGAGCCCTTCCATCATGGTCACCAAGCAATGAAGTAAGCACATCCCGGCCATCCTGGATCTTGGCAACTCTCACCTGATTGAATTAACAGATTGTAACCTCTGAACTTACTATCACCATCTGAACATCATGTGAAGTACTCCCTCCGTTCCTAAATATAAGTCTTTTTAGAGATTTCAATGGACTACAACATACGGATGTATATAGACATATTTTAGAGTGTAGATTCACTCATTTTGTTCCGTATGTAGTCCCTTGTTGGAATCTGTAAAAAGACTTACATTTAGGAACAGAGGGAGTATATGAAAGAGAAATTAACACATCTACCTCGCCATCAGCAGCGCAGGTGACAATGGTGCGATCATTCGTGTAAGGCATGAACCGTGCTTGGAACACATTATCGCCATGGCCCGAATGGAACTGCATTTTAACTGCACCAGTGTCCCAATCCCACAGCATTACCCTCTGATCATCTGACCCAGATATGAGGGTGTCACCAGCGGCATTGAAGCCCACCGTGTTCACGCATCCTGTGTGCTTGTTGAGCTTCCTATGAATCTGGAGGCGCATTACAAGCTCCTGTATGACAGCACTTACATCAGCAAGTAACCGCATAAAATAAATGCACACATTACACATTCAGTCTATTTGCTAGTACTTTATAAGGAAGAAGCTAATGAGCGGCTCAGGATTCAGATCAAGCTATTCAATCAGATCCTTTTGATTGCCAAATCACGAGGTCAAGATACCGCTCTGCATTTAGAAGATTCTGTCACATAGTATTAAAATACCATTATTAACTCATTCCCCGATCATCACAACCCATGTCATATAGCCCAATGTAAGGAGCAATCAATGGCCAAAATAATGCTCCTACATGACTGTGATCCCCAAGCACCAATTCGAGAAGCCAATTTGCGTGTGCTAACATCAGCAGTGGTCCAATCTCACCCAACACTAAATCTCAGTTAAAACGGCAAGAAGACCACGGCCCGAACACTGCACAGCACGATCCGCAGCTGGCCGATGGCACATGGCTGGCTAGTGCCTATGCTGATCCGCACCCCTGATGGATCGATCGAAGCACGATTGGGGGGAGGGAAGCGGAGAGTGGATGGGGGAGGGAGGGGAACCTCGGAGGCGGCGGCGCGGCGAGCGAAGCGGCGGGGGAGGAGGTCGCCGACCTCGCGGAAGCAGAGCTCGGCGGCGCCGTGGCGCGCGGTGGGGTGCTTCCATGGGTGGCGCATGGCGCGGTGCTCCGAGCGACGAGGCAGAGTGCTGCGATTGGGCTTCGTGGTGAACGCGAGCGGGCGAGCAAGAGAGAAGAGAGGGGGAGAGACACACAGCGAACAGATTGGTGGATGCTACCAGAGGTTAACCGCTGTACACAGGCACACGTGTCGCGGAGAGCGGATCCTTTGCGCCGCAGGCACACGTGTCAGATACTGCGTGGGCCACGCGCCGTCGAATGCACTATATGTGTTGTATCCAATGTCTTATTGTTCATATGTATTATTTGTAAATTTAATAAGGAAAACACTTTAAAACATCCGTATGATTTCTTGGCATATTCGGTCGCGTCCAGCGTCGTCCGATCCTCGGAATCGTGTGGCGCGTAGCAAATCGTGTGGCGTCGTCAAAGACTGCGTAGCCATGGTAGTACTGATGTTAGCCGCTCGCGTGAAGCTTCACATGATGAAAGCTGAATTACGTAGGAGTACATCATACTATCGTTGCTGGTTCAATGCACCTGATACTGCCACTTGTCCTTCCCTTCCGAGCACATCACACTCGTCTTCTCCCATGCAACACGTGCAAAACACTCCCCTATAGCAATGCTTGGAGTAGCGTCTTTGACAACGCCAACGCCGTGGCGTCGAAGCATTTGTCATTGCAACATCATTGGAGAAGACAACCCATCGTCATGGCACACGCTATGGTCCTCGAAGCAGTCGTGTCGTCGTCGCAACATTGTCGTGGCCGTGAAGCACGCCGCCGGAACATCATTGAAGCAACCGGGCCTCCATCGCAGCGTCGAAGCCGCCAAGCCGCCATGTCAGCGTTGCCATGGTCATGAAGCATGACGTGGCAGCAGCATCGAAGCAGCCGAGCCTCCGTCGCAGCATCGCCATGGTCATCGAAGCACGGCGTCGTAACATCATTGAAACAGTCAGACCTCTGTCGCAGTGTCGCTGCGATCGTCGAAGCAC